ACAGCCATTATGGAAAACATGGAGCTTCCTCAAAAAACTAAAAATAGAACTACCATATGATTTAGCAATCCCACTGCCTGGTGTTTATCCAAAGGAAATGAAATCACTACATCAAAGAGATATCTACATCTCCATGTTTATTGCAGCACTATTCACAATAGCAAAGATGCGGAATCACCCTAAGCATCCATCAGTGGATGAATGGATAAAGAAAATGTGGTACATAGAACATAGACACAATGGAATATTATTCAACCATAAAAAAGAATGAAATTCTGTCATTTGTAACAACATGGATGAGCCTGGAGGTCATTATGTAAAGTGAAATAAGCCAGGCACAGTAAGAGAAATATCATATGTTTTCACTCATGCGTGGGAGCTAAAAAAAGTTGATCTCATGGAGGTTGAGAGTAGAATAGTGGTTACCAGAGACTGGGGGAGTGGGGTATGGAAAGAGGGGAATAAAGAAAGGTACAATACAGTTAGATAGAAGGAATAAATTCTAGTGTTTGAGAGCACAGTAGGCTGACTATAGTTAACAACCATTTATTGTATATTTCAAAATCGCTAGAAGAGAATGTTTGTAATATTCCTAGCACAAAGAAAGACAAATGTATGAGGTGACAGATATCCCAATTACCCTAATTTGATCATTACATATTGTATACATGTATATAATTATCACAGGTACTCCATAAATTTATACAATTATTATACATCAATTAAAAAAAAGAAAAAAATGGACATGAGAAAGTCTGAATTATTTCACTGTACTGTTTTATCTCTGCCATTAAGTGCATTATTCAGCCCTGAATTTTTGCTGTGGATTATCTGGCCAATTGCATCACTCTTCTCCCTCTGGATGCCTGCCCTATGGCTCGGTCCCTACTCACAACCCAGTAAGCAAAGGTGTGCCCAGGAAGACAGACAGATACAATCCAAGTGGATTCTTTTCATTCTTTAAAAAAGAATGGAATCTCTTTTAAGGTTGCTGTTAATAGTATGTGAAGTACTGCCAATGTTATTTTCTAATTGGGTGTCACTGGTTTCCTATCCCACTTTAAATTTGTACAGACAAAAAAATAATCCTTTATTCTCTCACCACCATAAAACTTAAACAGTTATCTTTTGGGGGAGTGATTTTTAAGGTTTTAAGGCTGATAACTCTCTTTCAGGAGCTAAGATGTTTCCAAGCAGTTTCAAAAGGCAACGGCAAAAGTGACACCTGGACTTGGTTTTGATGGGGTTTTTCAACTTTACTTTCTCACTTTCAGTGTGCAGAGTCAGAAGGTCTGGGGGAAAATGGTGTCCCAGTCTGGCTTTTTCTGAAAATGTTTCTGGGGCATTTCTTCCTCCTCTCCCAGTTCACAAGAGCTGGGCTGGTCACTGTGACCAGAGAAGCTGGAGCTCAAGCTTTAAGGACAGCTGAGGTGTGGGCTGCAGGGAAGGCTGGGGGCTATGAACACGGATGAGGCAGAATCGATACTATCCACCAAAGCTGTTCCGGCCTCCAAGGAAGAAATCTTACAACTTACGGGTGCTTCACTAGCAAGGGTTAAGAGAGGCAGTGTAATGTCACGGTTAAGTGAACAGATGCTGAATCTATACTGCTTGGTGTGAATCTAAGCTCTGCCACTTAGTAGCTATCATGGGATCAGTTACTTAACTTCTCTAGCTTTAGTGTCTACATCTTAAAATGGGGAATAATAACAAGAACTAAAGCAGAAACTTATTGTGATGCTTAAATAATATTTATAAAAGACTTAGAAAAGTACCTGGCACAAGGTAAGTGATATACATACACACTCATATATATATGTATCTGTCAAATAAATAAGAAGTGAATGAGAAGGGAATCCTGCAGGATAATGCTCTCCTGTCTGTCTCGCCCCCACCCCGCCCCACATGCACACACACAAGAGCTAAGGTAGCAGGTCATTGCCCTGGGAGGCGTAAGCTGCCGTTATTATCTAGTCAGGGCAGTGATCAGTTAGCACATCTACAGACCTCACATGCATGAACTCGACAAGTTCCAAGGTGCTAAGCAGAAAACAGAAGTCACAAAAGGGCTATCCCAGCCAGCATCGATCTGTGGGAGCATTTCTCCCTGGTACCCTGACTCCTCATCACCCACATGGGGACAACGGCATGCACAGGGACAATGGCCAAGGGCCTAGCGTGTGGGGATCTGGAGGAGAACTCGTGGCCGGGTCGGGGTGGCCTCCGGTGCTGCTTGCCTAGCTGTCTGCCTCGCAGCACGACTGGGATAGCTTCCCTCTCTGGGCCATGGGTGGGGAAGATGAGCCAGCAGGAAGGGGCGGGCTGCGAGAAACTAGAAGGCA